TGTGTTGATAAGTGATCTCCAGAAACTGGTCGAATACGTGCGGCACAAAGTGCACCGATTTCAATCTGAGATTTGTCGCAAATGTTTCCACACATGCGCTTCATTCGAAACTCTGAGAAGACATTAAGAACTGTGCTACCAAGACGAAGATGTCGTCATAACAATGCCCAAGCCGGGAAAAGATGACCACAAGTTCAAAAACTTAACAGCTCGTTGGTACGTACCCAGAGTAATCTACTTTGATTTGGAGTCACTGCTCTTACCAGTATACGGACCGCAACCTGATCCGCGAAAATCTAGCACGCAAACAATTGAAATCCATCAACCGTGCGGCTACGCGTTAGCAGTAATCGAATTTGGGAAAAAAGACCTGTTAAAGTTTGAGCTTAAAAGAGGACCGAATGTGATGGAAGAGCTAATTAGCTCCCTTGAATCGTTAGCGAGACAAATTTACGTAGAAAAAAGGAAATATTACACTTTCACTGGTATAACAGACCAGGAACGGGAAGATGCTACAATTTGTTGGATATGCGAAAATGATTTTTCCGACAATGATCAAGTGGTACTTGATCATTGCCATTACACCAACAAGTTCCTGGGTTGGGCACACAATGAGTGTAACGTTAATAGAAAAACAACAAATTACATTCCAGTGGTAGCTCATAATTTGTCAAATTATGATTTACACTTTATAATCAAAGCGCTGGCAAAAAGCGATTCGGAAAACACTTTTTCCGTAATACCCGCATCTGAAGAAAAATATATATCCTTGACAATCTCAGTCTACATAAAAACGTACACGGACAAAAACGGAAAAATCAAAAAACTCTACAAAAATCTGAGATTCATCGATTCGTATAGGTTCATGCTAGCATCGTTGGCAAAACTTGTCGATAATTTGCCCAACGAAAAGTTTTTTCTGCTGGAGAACTATTTTGAAAAACTCGGCCACTCACGTGAAAAAGTCAGTCTGTTGAAACAGAAAGGGCATTACCCCTACTCATACTTCAACTCATTCGAAAAATTCCGAGAAACTCGCCTTCCCCCACGAGCAATGTGGAAAAATAGTCTAACAGGAGGGGATGTGAGTGTTTCAAGATGCGAGTACAATCATGCCCTTAAAGTTTTCACCGAACTGAAGTGTGGCTCACTTGGTGATTACCACGACTTGTACTTGACTACAGATGTGCTATTGCTTGCTTCCGTTTTCGAAGCTTTTCGTGAAGTTTGCTATCAAACATACGGGCTGGATTGCGCCTGTTACTTCACGGCAAGTAACATTTCCGGGGACGCCTTTCTAAAAATGTATAAGCCCGAACTGAAACTCTTAACGGACCGTGAACATCTAGACCTTGTGCAGCGAATGATACGAGGAGGCATGTCGTCGGTTTACGCGTGCCGATTTTACAAAGCAAACAATAAATACCTCGACGATTTTTCGCCCTCAGAACCATCAAGCTACATCCTCAATATTGATGCAAACAATTTGTACGGGGGGATAATGAAACACAGCCCTTTGCCCTTAAACGATTTTTCAATAGTTGAAAAAAGTCTGGCAGACATACTGCTCACCAGCGAAACCTCAGATTGTAGTTATATAGTTGAAGTCAATTTAACCATACCCGAAGAGCTTCACGACTTCTTTGCTGATTACCCCCTTGCCCCCTCTCGTGAAGTAGTGGACATTGGTGCAATGAGCAACGAGCAAGTCGACATGTTGGGAAAATTGGGAATCACCACACTGCCAAAAGTGCCAAAGCTTCTACAGACCTTGCATCCTAAAGAAGGTTATGTTTTGCACTACCTTACCCTAAAATTGTACCATGAGCTGGGAATGAAAATAACTCACCTCAGAAAAGTTCTTCAGTTCCGCCAAAGTCACTGGATGGCACCCTTTGTCGACCTCAACACCCGCCTACGAAAAGCCGCGGTAAATAAATTCCAGGAGAACTTCTACAAGCTAATTGTTAATTCAGCTTTCGGTAAAACATTTGAGTCTAAGTTAGGAAGAAAGAAGCTGGAGATTGTAAGGAATGAGAGAGAACTTTTACAAAAAACAGCTCTGAGCACAATGAAAAGCTTTCAAATCATTGACGACCAAATAGCCACAATTAGCTTTTCAGTAACAAAAATATTGTGGGATAAACCTATGATAGTTGGCGCGACCATCCTAGACCTCGCCAAGCGTTTCATGTTTCAGTTTCATTATCAATAAATGAAACCAAATCTAAACTTGGAACTCCTTTACTCCGACACGGATAGTTTTATTTACGCTATAAAAACTGATGACGTTTACCGAGACTTGGAGAAAATAAAAGCTGATTTCGACTTTTCAAATTACGATAAGGACCATTTTTTGTTCGAGGATACCAACAAGAAAGTTGTGCTGAAATTCAAAGACGAGACTGGTGGCAAGCCGATCAGAGAATTCATCGCCCTAAAACCGAAACTATATTCGGTCGTCCTTAATGGTAAATAAAATTTAAGCCACCCTTCCACCCCCCATTCCTACCTTTTACAGAACAAAATTACCACCACCAACCTACCTACACCCCTTAATTTGTTGCATTAAACTATGGGCATTTAGCTGATTTAGGCAACATTATACAATGTTGCCTAAACGTTGATTTATCTGACAACATATTCCCTCTTTTTTCCCCTTTTTAATCATAATTTAGAGTCTTTTGCTCTTTTTTGGTAAAATGAATCAAATTTTGTTCGGTATAAATTGAGTTGCTGAAGTGAAATGAAGCTATCCCCTACGTTGTAGAAAAGAATAATAATTTTGCTTCTGTTTAGAAGGCACTCAAAAATTGAGTGCCAAAGGAATTAAACGGAGTGCACAGAGAGAACTGGTCCACCAAACCTTCAGGGACACATTATTCACTGGAAAAACAATGAGAGTGTACAACTATAATATAGTTTCGAAAAGTCACACCAATGTGACAGTGAAACAAAACAAACTTGCATTATCACCATTCGACTCAAAACGTTTTCTACTTTTCGACGGAATTTCGACAGTGCCCTTTGGCCATAAAGCCGCTGAAGAAAATGCTTTTCTAGAAGACATTTACATGGACACCGAGTGGGCCAACTCATACAATGAAACTGATAACAGTTCTCCCGATTTTACACTTCCGGATTTGGGATTTTTATAGCGGCCCTACTCAGAAGCAGAGCTGCAAGAAGAAGAAGAAGCTTCTAGTAGCCGAGTCCGTGAACGTCCCCCTATAAAAAACCCATTTATTTTATCTGAAGCTTCAGAAGAACGACCATCTAAAAAACAGCGCAAAGAAAACCAAAACAATAAACATTAAAGTCTGAAACATATATTTTCAGATGATTTTACTGTTCGTCCTTTTTATACTTCGACTTGTATATGTTTTGGTTTTTACCAATTTACAACTAATAAAATGCTCTTATTGAGCTCAATCACTGTTTTAACATAAATAGCTTCAGGCAAATAAACTAGTAGACGCAAACCAAGTGTTAATTCAAACAAATGTGTGAAATCCTTAGGCTTGTTTTCAATAACAAACTTTAATAGCATGACAAATCTTTGACGAAAAGAAAGAAAGCCAGGAAATGATATCCACATGAAACTAGGACGAAAAAAGAAAAGTTCAGGAATTAGGACGATTAATTTTAATTATCGCGGGAAAAGGGACCGCTTTCAAAGGAATTAGAAGGAATTATTGTATCGCGTCCCGGTTGTTGAGCTCAGCTTAACAAGATCCTAAGGAGGGGGTCTTTTACTTTAGGGGTGGGAACTTGCGATCATTTACAAAATCCTAGGATAGGGGTCCTCCAAAGAATTAAGGACCCCTTTCCTAGGATGTTGCTTTACGTGAGGACCCCCCCCCCTTAGGAAGGACCCCCCCCCCCTTAGGATCCGGGACACGATACAATACTACTGAGAACCGTAGAAAAGTTTCATTTTTTGAGATGCTTTGAAAGCTACCCTCCCAAATCTGGATCAACCGAAAGAATAGGTTGTAGTGATCTTTACCAAGACAATGAGCTAGCTGACTCCGAGATAGAGACACCGCTTTTAACTTGAGAAAAAATTAAATTTTTGGCAT